CTTTTATTCACACTCTTTAACTTAAATTTCCACCAAAATGTGGCTGCAAACGAAACTTCATTTTTTGGCAAGAAATATTAGGAGCAGAAAGAGAGGACTAAAGTGATCTTAATATGGTCAATTCTTATTACGTGTTTACGTATCAAATATTTAATATGGTAGAGTTGCTAGACTAGGCTCCAGGCTATCAGAGGCATCTCACTAGTAGTCAAGGTGGTGGAGATAAGCACAGTCACCAGACATCCACCAGTCACCTACCATCAGCCAGGTTTTGTGTTCAGACACAGGTAGATTATCTGTGATCTTTCCTGTCCATATGAACTAGGACTGAATGGTATACATTTATTTTTACTTCTCCCCTAGGATTCTTTGCTCTTCCTTCTTCTCTCCTAGTGAAAGTAGAGAGAAAGTGAAGTGTTTTTTGTTTTGTTTTGTTTACTTGGGCTTTTCCTAAAGAACAGACTTTATTGTTCTATTTGACCTCCTTAGAGAGCCTTTTCTGCAAACAGTTCTACACTATCCAGCAGGGTTCTGGCATTTGGGAGACCCCTCAGTGGGAGCAGTGACTAGGTATGAACTTGGGAACTATTTTTGGGAGATAGGAAAATGTACAGAATTTGGGGTCAATCGTTCACTCTTAGCTACTAGAGGAGTACATCAGAAACATTTGAATTAGGCATTTTTCTGCATTTTAATTGTTAGATCAAGTCCTTGGTTGATAAAAAAATAAATTCTACAATAAATCAAATGTATGAAGGAAAGACCAGGCATTTTTCTTATCTAAAGAGGCTCGTGGTCTCAAGTACTGAGAAAAAAATGCACGTCAAAAGGCCTGATTTTCATTCTTAGTTTTGTACCAGATTTAGTTTTGTACTAGAAAGGGTAAGGCAACCTGGTTCTTTCATTTAGGCAGGAGTTCCTGGTCCTCCTTGTAATCTTATACTAGTACTGTTCAGGACAAGAATCTTAATGGAATAGCCAAAGCCCAGTGGGGCTAGTGATCTGTGTGTGGTCACTCAGCTAATCAGCAGGCTTGTATGTTATAATGCTTTCTTAAGAACTAGGATTCTACTTCAGCCCTCCCTCATGGGATATTTCCTAAAATATATGCTTTCTGATCAAACTATACTTTAGAAGAAATAATCTTCTAAAGAAAAAGCAAGAAGGAAAAATTGATTAATCATAGCTCCTAGAATAGTTTCTGTTGAAAATATTATGGACACTGAAAACCACAAAATGTTTTTACTTCAAAGAATGGGTATATCCTAGAACTAATAGGGATTTTAAGAGTTCCAGAACTTCTGGGAAAAATATTCAGGGAAAATACAAGTAGATAAGCATTACTATTTTTTTGAAGCCTCATTAAATGGGAATTGTAGATTCAGTCCTCCTCAGAAGTTACCGAGGAAAGGAGCAACTGTGAATATGTCTCCTCAGTGTTAATCATGAAAGGATCAGTATGCCCATGCTATGGAATATTATATGGCTATTAAGATGGAATACATAAAAATGAAATACACTAGTGCATTAAAAATGAAATAAAATGACGTGGAAGATCTGTGATAAGTTGTTTAGAAAAATAATGGCGAGAGTACTATTCAGAATGTGATCTCTCAATTTTGTAAAGACAAACACAAAACGTATAAACATAAGGACTTAGGTGTCTGCTTGGGTCAGAGCTAGAGGAATGTATTTCAGCTGTTGGCAGTGGATCTCCCAAGCTATTGAGAGTGAATAGAGGAGATGTGAATGGTGGCATGGTGTAAGGGAGAGGGGGACAGAGAGGTGTGTTTACTTTTTAATTTATTCATGTCTGTGTTGTTTGGAATTGTTTCATAAACATTTTTATAATATTTCATGTGAATATATTTTATATATTATATTTTTATAATGTTTTATACGAAAAGCCATATAAAACCTTTGTATCAGAATGAATCTGTGTGCTCTATTCTTCAAAGAAACATGGTATCATCAGCAAATAGTGCAAATGACAAGTATTCCTCCACCTAAGAAACGCCTTACACATTACAATATAAATTGGCTCACACTTGTAAATATCAGCTGTACATGTTACAGATTATAAGAAGAGAAAAAAAATGAAGTCCAAAGCTTCTATAGATGGAAATCATTGCATCTAGTTTGAGCGGGTGATAGTAACAGCAGAAGGGAAATGTGTACAGGTAAAAAAGATGCTGGAAGTGTGCAAATAATTTCATAATAACGTGAGAAAGATGGGGCACCTGGGTGGCTCAGTCGGTTAAGCGTCTGCCTTCAGCTGAGGTCATGATCCCAGAGTCCTGGGATGGAGCCTGCACTGGGCTCCCTGCTCATCGGGGAGTCTGCTTCTCCCTCTCCCTCTCCCTCTGCCTGCTACTCCCCTCCACTCAGGGTCTGGCTCTCATCTCTCTCTCAAATAAATAATAAAATTTTTAAGAAAGATAGCAATGTGAGAAAGATATGCTGCTGCTCTATTATGATACTTAGCATCTTAGATACTGATCACCATCCCTATGCCCTCCTCTTCAAGAATTCCGTCTCAACATAGAGGTGAATAATTTCCATGGAAATAAGTCCATTAACTAAAGAACACATTTGTACTGAGAACATAATGCGTGGACTGCTTTAGATACAGGGTGGGAGAGGGGAGCACAAAGATGAAGAAGAGCTAAGCATTGCTTCCTGGTGCTTGCAATCTAGTGGGGGAGCTAAGGTGATGTACTAGCTCTGAAGTGCCATGGGGACTGTAGGAAGCACACAAATGCATAAACTAAACTAGGACTTCAGAATAGAGGGGATGGATGCTCCCTCAAGGGGAGGTGTTCTGTTTTTTATTTTGTTTTGTTTTAGAATAGAAAAAACATGAACATCATTGTAAGTCAGCATGGAGAGGTGACAATGGGGTAAGAGAAAGGAGGTGATGAATAGGAGGTAACCCAGACAGAAGCATGAAGAGAGCCCAGGGGGAGAGAAAAGCCATGAGTAGGAGGAAGGATATTACACAAAGCATGTGAAAGAAAGAAAGGGGTCTGCGTGGTGAGACAGAGATGCTCTGGGAGGTGAAGGAAGAGGAAACTGGAAGAGTCCATTTATAACAGGTTTGACTTTGTCCATCTAGTGGGAAGTTACAATATTGCCAGAATGAGAGTCATGGTAGGCTTGGGAGCTGTGAAAAGACTTGGAACAGCCACTGTGAAGAATATAAGTCAACCGGGGAGAGTACTTTTGTATTCTTTGGGTTAATACGGAGTAAGGCAATAGCTGGATTATAGGGTAGTTCTATTTTTAACATATTGAGGAACCACCATACTCCTTTCCAGAATAGTTGCCCTGATCTACATTCCCACCAACACTGCATGAGGACTCCACTTTTTCCACATCCTCACCAACTTTTGTGTTGTTAATTTTAACCATTCTGACAGGTGTGCAGTGATATCTCATTGCAGTTTTGATTTGTATTTCCCTGATGATTAGTGATGTTGAACATCTTTTCGTGTGTCTATTGGCCATCTGGATGTTGTCTTTGGAAAAATGTCTATTCATGTCTTCTGTACATTTTTAAATTGGATAGTTCATTTTTTGGGTGTTGAGGTTTATAAATTCTTTACATATTTTGGATACTAATCCTTTATCAGAAATGTCATTTGCAAAATCTTCTCCCATTCTGTAGTTTGCCTTTTAGTTTTGTCGATTGTTTCCTTCACTGTACAGAAGCTTTTTATTTTTATATAGTCCCAAGAGTTTGTTTTTGCTTTTGTTTCCCTTGCCTCAGGAGACATACCTAGAAAGAAGTTGTTACGGCCAGTGTCAAAGAGGTTGCTGCCTAGAGGTCTCCCCTAGGATTTTTATGGTCTCAGGTCTCACAATTAGGTCTTTAATTCATTTTGAATTTCGCTGCCAAAGAGGTCACTGCCTAGAGATCTCTTCTAGGGTTTTTATGGTCTCAGGTCTCACAATTAGGTCTTTAATTCATTTTGAATTTATTTTTGTGCATGGTATAAGAAAGTGATCCAGTTTCATTCTTTTGCATGTTGCTGTCTACCCCATTTATAGCAGCACTACCTACAGTACAATGGAAACAGCCCAAGTGTCCATCAGTTGATGAATGGATAAAGAATATGTGGAACATATATATGACATATATATATATCTCATATATATATATATATATTCCATTGCGTATAAGCAATGGAATATTTTTCAGCCCAAAAAAGAATGAAATTTTGCCATTCGCAATGACATGGATGGAGCTAGAGTATAATGCTAAGTGAAGTAAGTCAGTCAAAGAAAGACAAATACCGTATGATTTCACTCATATGTGGAATTTAAGATACAAAACAAATGAGCAAAGGGGAAAAAATAGAGGCGAACCAAGAAACAGACTCTTAACTGTAAGAGAACAAACTGATGGTTACCAGAAGAGAAGTGGGGGGGGGATGGGTGAAACAGGTGATGGGAATTAAGGAGGGCACTTGTGATGAGCACTGGATGATGTATGGAAGTGTTGAATCACTATATTGTCTGCCTGAAACTAATAATACACAGTATGTTAACTAACTGGAATATCAATAAGTCAACCAGGGATGATTAACAGGGTTGTGGAGCATCACTGAGGTCCCACCTGAGGTGGAGTGGCATGAATCTTTAATGAAACTAATAAAAAGAAACATTTGCATTACTTTATTTGGCACTGTGGCAGCTGGGCATAGAGGCATGGAAATTCAGCTTCACCAGAATGCATATTTTGTAGAAATCAAGGGATTCTTCAGTTGAAAGCTGGGTACGAAAATTTATCAGAACGTAGTCAAATAATTGCATCATTTCAGATTTCACTTTGTCAATATGTTTCTTTCCTCTTAATTTTTAGTTAAATCAGTTAACTGTATTTCCATAAAGAAGTAGGAAAATATCTAGTACTTTGAATGTTAACTAACCAAGTAATACCATTAGAATTTCTGAAGTTTCTAGCTCATAGTTGCTTCTCATACATTATGTATTTTTAGGCTGGAAAAACTAATAACATCCTTTTTGGAAGACCAGGATCCAGAGAGCAGACTAGATGTTGGCACTGATATGCGTAAAATTCATCACTGTTTCCATCATTTAAAGGTAAAGTTCAGCATTTCCTCTAGTAGAAGCCATTGTCTGCCATGTTGAAACTGCAATAAAGTTTGCCTAGTTGACCAACTCTTAAAAGGTTAGGACCCAACTCCACATGTGCAGAACGGTATGATCTTCCAACAAGGCTGGGATTATTCCGGAATTTCTTCAGGGGTTTTATCTTACCTGCCAGTGAATAAGCTCAGACCATAGACTTGTAATTCTTTTGCTAGGAACCTCTAACTTGTACACAGAATAATTCCATGTTCAAAAACCATTTATTTTAAACATATATCAAGAAAATTGTGTCCTGTGTTTTTCCCAGCAGTTTAGATTTATCTATATAAACCCTCAGTTTTTCTCTGCCTTACATTTTACCTTTCATGATGACACAGTGGGAATATCATTAACTTTTATTTCTGCCTCACTTGTAATTTGGCATTCTTCACTATGATAATAAACATTCATTGTGAGTCTGCTATGGGCCAGGCCTTTGGGAAAGCAAAATTGAGTAAGAAGGCATATGTGTAGAGAATAATTATAACACATGATAAGTGATATTTTTAAAAGTGTGAATCAAGCGATATGGGGTTAAGGAGAGAGAGAAAGAAGTTCAAGAGGAGATCATGTTTGAGCAGGAATTTCTGAGTTTAGGGAAAGAGACAGATAATAGCAGAGAATGGGATAAGGAAGGGGAGGGGAGAGGGGACAGGGAGACTGGGAAGGCAGCTGCATTGTAGAGACAAGGAGGCAAGAAGGGACAGGCACGCCTGATTTGTGCAAGGAATTGTCTAAGGCAAAAAGAGTCCAAGAAACTCAGAGATTTGGAAGAGAAGTATGGGCTCTAAGCTCTTATTTCATCTTACAGAAACTATTGAATGACGAGAAGATTCATGGAAAAAGCACAGTCTCCGCCGAAATCAAAGATCAGGATTGCCAAGAACCATTAAAGGAGGAAGAATACCAAAAGCTCCGAGACATTCTACAGCAGAGGGATAATGAAATCAGTATCCTTTCCAAAGCGATTAGAAACTGACCCTCTCCTGGCCGGAAAGAGGGAGGGGGAACAACTTCGACGCCTTCCGCTATCCACATCACCTAGCCCCCCACCCTGTGTCCAGTTCACACTGCTTCTTGTCATTTAGGAGAGGTCCCTCCCACGCACAGAATGTAGCCGCCAGTGAAAAACACAGTTGCTAAAAAAGGAATATTTTGACTTTGTTTTTAGCTAGATAGTGACTGTTATGGGGAATATTTCAGTTTATTGAAAAGCATGGTCTTTTTTACACCATCTCTTAACATGAATTTTTTTTTTTAATGTATTTTTTGGACTACTCCGCTGTGCTCTTTCTGTTTTAGTTCTGAGCCAAGAAGTTAGCTGGTTATCTTTAGCTGACTGACCGGACACTGGGCCGACCACAGCCTCACCAGGGCCCAGAATTTGTGGCTGGTGTGTGGGCGGCACTCAAATGGTGGCTGAAAACTGACAAATGGTATTTAGCTTATGGAGAGGAGAGATTGATTTAAATGTAACTTTTTTCATTTAAAGGCCAGGTCTACTGCTTTGGGTTCCACTTAACAAATGTTCCCAAACTGGGAAGCGAGTATCAATGGGCATTCAAGATAGAATCCTTCTTGACTCTAGGAGGCAGTATGGGGTGCTGGGTGAGCCAGCAGCCCATAGGAGCTGCCTCCAGGTACAGGCAGGGGAGTGGGGCGGGAGGCCTAGACCTCAGGTCCCCCCAGCATTTCTTCAGTCTTGTTTCTCACTTTATCTGTCCAGCTCAGCTTCTTGTAAAAAGATTTGACATTTTCATTGCATTTGCAGACTTTAAACGTGCACAAGAGGCTATTTCGGTCTCTCATCAACAGGTATTTGTGTTCATTTTTAAAAATTACTAAAGGGCCTTTTAGCTGCAGCTAATGTGAAAAAAAAAATGCATAAAAATCACCTACATCCAGTAAATAAAGAGGTAAAAACAAACCACACACAAGGTAGGCACACTGCCTGATTAACCTCAGTCTCTAATTTTAGCTGAGTATTAGCAGACCCTGTATGCCTGATCCAAGTGAGTTTTAGCTGCTTTTCTTATCCAGCCAGCAACAGTAGGTTCAGCTGCAAATTCTACTCCCACGCAAGGCCTTGTCTGTGAATGCTGCCCACGGGGTCACCCTGCATTGCTTTTCCTCTCTCTTACCCTATCCAGCTCCAAGGATGCTCCCAGCCCAGACCTCAGGCCTGGGCCTGGCCCCAGTCTGAGCTCTGCGTCTTTTCCCAACCTTGATCCTATTTTAGGATCTTCTCCCCTAAACACTCCTACCAACTTCTTAATCCCCTCCTGGGCTCATGAATATGTGTGCTGATAGGTGGGATGAGATATGAGATACGTCAGCAAGGAACCAGTCTGGGCTTGTGCGTGTATGTTTATTTAAACAAGAGAGTGACAGAGAGACATACATCATCTCCCTATTGACCGCCCGATGCAGGTGCCACTGTTTATGTGAGGCTGGCCTGGATTCTTCACTAACTGGGAATGACCTGAGCAGTGTCTCCTCCTTCTGAGACTCATGTTCAAAATGATGGTGTGTAGGAGCCATGGTGAAAAGATCACGGAACTTTAAATTCACACTTGGATTGATATCCTAGTTCCTCCTGCTTAGCTCCACAGCTATTCCATGGAACGGTTTCCTCCTCTTCTGTAGTAGGACCATAAAGCCTGCCTTGCCAACCTCACAGTGCTGACCAGAGCTGGTAAGGTAAGGTGCTGGAAAGTGCTTTGAGCACTTTTGAGCACGTGGTGTGATACGATGGGAGATATGAAAGTTTCTCATGCCAGGGTGGAGGATATTTTCACATCTCGTCTGTAGAACCACCAAGGCGAAGACTGACAGGAGGAATGAGAAAGATCTGGTATATGGGAAAAACAGGTGGTAATACTTGAGCTCACCAAATGACAGTAATGCAACCAAAATGACAGCGAATGACACAGAACACTCTTCTTGGTAAGGGAGTGAAAATTATGTCCTTTCAGTGACATTATCAGTCTGCGTAAAGTTCAGAAACCCCTTCACCAAACATGTAACAGTGTGTCATTTAGGACCCCACACAACAAAGGCCCAAGTTAAATGGAATGGGCTGGGGAGGAAGACAAAAGAAAGGTGGGAAGAGGGAAAGCAGCCAAGCAGATAAATCTGTACTCTGATCTCTATGAAATGTACATTAGAGCTGCATGTTTCTGGTTAAATTCTGCCAGAGCCTGTTAGAGTGAACCTCAGCTCCTTATTCTAGATCACAAGGCCCTACATGACAGTGCCCCTGCCACACCTCTGATTTCATTTATTCTGTCTCTGTCCTGTATGTGTCAGGCTTTGGTCACAGTGTCCTTTCTGTGGTGGTTCTAACACCAGCTTTGTCAACGTTGGCACTCTCGACACTTGGGGCTGTCTAATTCTCTGTTGTGGGGGCTCCCCTGTGCATTGTAGGATGTTTGGCAGCCTCTCTGGCCTCTACCCACTAGACTTCAGTAACAACATCTGCCCCCCGCCACTGTAGTATGCAACCATAACTGCTTCTAGCTAGACATGGCCAGACGTCCTTTAAGAGTTAAAAGAGCCCCTGTTGGGAGCCACTGACAAGGCCCTTCTCCTTAGGGTTTTAGCACTGGCCATGAACTCTGTTGACATATTCTTCCTCTGGCCGCTGCCTCTTGATGTTCAGCTTAAATGTCACTCTTAGGAAAGTCTTTTGTGAGCACCCAGCATAGAGTAGCCACTCAGTCATTCTTGACCTTTTAAAAATAAGCTACCCTTTCATCCTCTAACATGCAGTATGTGTACTTGAGATCTGACTTTCCCCAGTAGGACCTCTACTTTGTGAGAGCAAGAAACTCGTATGCCTTTTCACTGTTCCATCCCTCTGCCTAGAGTCATGCCTGGCATGGAGTATAAGCTCCATGGCCCACAGTCGAATGGGTGAGCACATGGATGCTGCCATTGCAGTGTGTGAACCAGCAGAAGCTTCTGATGCTGTGGGTAGTCAGTTCCGCATGAGAAGTGGAAGATGTGGGCAGAGCACTGCTCCTCTCTGCCAGGCCAAGGCCCACACACCACCTTTGGTAAGAACACATTTTTTTGAGGCAAAGATTGGAAGCCGCATCAGAGACTCTGAGAGAAAGAGTGATTATGCTTCTGGAAATCTCCAAGAATTTGGAGTTAAAGCTGAAGAGGAAGATGAAAATCCAGTGACCCCCATGAGACTTGCCCAAGAATAGGCATCAGAGTTAGTCTTCTCTCCCCACCACCTCCATATTTCCTCATTCCCCATCTCTGGGGATGCTGAAGGCCTGCAGTTCAGCTTACTGCTGAACTTTACACTTGGAGTTCTGAAATTCTCAGGAGGGGTTTTAGTCTGTTTTTTTCAGTGATGGCAGAAATCCCTTAGTTTTCTCAGCATCTTGAGCCCGAAAGAACAGCAAAGGAGGATGGCAGGCAGTGATGCCATCACTCCTCATCAGTGTTCCCAGTATACTGAAATGGCCCACCAAAATGTGCACTGTAAAATGATATGTCTGTACTAACAATTCACTTCTTTCCAGGTCCATTTGGGACCAAAATTTAGAGACTTTCTTAAAAAAGTAACTGTAAGTCCCATTCTTATGTACGCTAAACCAGCATGTGTTGGATGTGGGGTACTCTGGCCACCAAAGCGGATTTAGCTGCTTTGCCAGCTGGATGGACTCTGGTGTTCTCCCTCTCCACTCCTCCTGCTGCCTCCTGAGCAGCATCATGGATTCAGATCTTACTTATTCACAGATACATCCATAGCTCCATTGTCTGCTCCTATTACGTGTTCATTTTATTTCTTGTAAACCCTTTCATAAGAATTTTAGGTCTTTACCAGTTTAATCTCAAAACATTTTAAAGACCTTTGGGTTTGCTAACTTTTCATATAATGGTGCCATATTGAAAGACCAGCTGCTTCCTAAACTGTCTGTAACTAGATAAAGTTGAAGTCTTCCTTCAGTGGTCTCTTTACCACATGACAAATAGCAAATATTATTGGAAATAATAACCTCAGTTGAAACATTAGTGTTTTGATCATTGCAACTTAGCATGAGTCACTAAATCCTTAAATCAAGTTTCAGATATTCTGGTCAATATGCTAAAGAAGGAAAAAAAGAAAGCTCAAGATGCTCTCCACTTATCCAGCATGGGTAGAAGTGAATGGAGACACTCACAGAGATCGCCCTTGCCACCTGGGAACTCAGAAGGTCTGAGGACATTGCCATCCTCAGCAACCACACAGGTCCGGGACGTCAGCGCTGTCGGGCACAGATCCAGTTTGCTCCACAGAAAAACAGGTCAGTTGTATTTACACATATAGATCTATAAATTATCTGAAGTATGGAAAACATAGGCTTAAATGAGAAAAATAGGCTATCATAAATCAAACATCTACAGAAAAGGTAAATAAACATAGAAATGATTATAATTTATCATTCTATTCTTCATCATTGTAATTCTTATTGTTGGTATTACCAACAATAAGTACCAGCAACAGCTCCAGCAGTAATAATAAAAATCCCCAAGTAAAACTTATTAAGGAGAAAATAAATGTCTGGCATTCCTCATGCTCCATAATGGAATTCAGCATAGCATTTTTGGTTTTAAATATGAAGAAATGGCAACTTATGTGTTATAATTATTTTTTATAACTATCAAAACTCTTAAATACCAGTTTCCAAAATTGATGACTGAACTGAAAACACAAAGTTTAAATTGCGACAGAGCTCAGAGGCAGAAACAGATGGGTCCAGGGCAACAGGAGAAAAGTTAAAGTTAAGAGAAAGGAACAAAACCTTTCCTCTGATAGAGTAGGGAAGGAGTAAGGACAAATGTTGCATTGCCAACGTGATGACACAGTATTTATTTCTAAATCTGAATAAGCTATCTGCAGCAAAATAATTTAAAAATATTATCACAGTCTGCCTTAAAGGATACTAAACAAACAATATTTTGTCAGATAGTAGGATTTGACTGAGTTGGACCAACTCGGGGGCACTTTCCCCACTTACAGCTTTTGATCAGTATGTCAGTTCTGCAACTACAGAACCACACTAGAGGCCCCGGTTGCTTTGTGTTATTTTCTCTTTCTGTTAGACGAGCAGATCATGATGTACAGGCATGTGATTGGTGCCTTTCTCTTGAAGACATTGAGAAATCTGAAATATGGAAATGTACTAGAACAAAGGGGTGAAAACCTTCCCTTTTTGGCAACGCAGGTTGAAATTTTCTATATAAATGTTTGTTGGGATGGATGATCTGATATGCATGGTTTTCTACAGGATTTAACTTGGGAATAATTAAAGGATGGTACTCATTAAGAAGGACACTTTTTTAATTAATAAAGACAAGGTCGAGAAGCCTGGAAATATGCTTCATGATATTATATCCCTTTATCTCTTAATTCTAAATCTCCTTGCTTTGAATATTTAGTTAGCAATACAGTAGAATAAATTCAAAGTCAAAGGAAACCAAAAATCCTATTTTTACCATGATCGTGGTGGCAATAGACAAGGAAAGCAATTGTTCCTCTCTGTGACTGTTTTCCATATAGCGTTCCTGTTATGGGTAACAGCTGGTTCTAAAAAAAAAGGAGACCCTCTGGATTGGTGAATTCATTCGTTCATCCATCAATTTATATGTTCCTTTATTCATTCAACATATATTTATTAAGTACACACTTTGTTCTAGGTACCGTGCTAATTATTACTATTATGGCTACAGGTTACATAGCCTGTATGTATGTATGTATGTATGTATATGTATATACATTCAATCGGACAACTTTGAATATATTCAAAGTTGTTATTTATATATTATTTATACATATATGAATAAATATATATTCAAAGTTGTCATTTATTCAAAGTTGTCTGATTGAATTAATTCATTTAATCCTTATTCTATAGGTTCTTGTTTTGCCCCCATACTATACAAGAACATATGAGGACAAACAACCTGTGATCTCACAGCACTTAGAGACTGACAGAGAAGGAAGCTTTGAACAATTACAAAATTACACCGTGTTACTGACAGGGCACATATCAGGGAACCCAACCTCAAGTTAAGATCAGAAGGATCCAAAAAGGGACATGAGGAGCAGAATGTGGCTGGAAGCAATACTGTAAGCAGAAGGAATCATTTGAATAGCTTTTGGGGACTTTGTGGTAGAAAGGAGCATTTTAGGAAGTAAAAAGGCCTTGATGGGTGGGATGTGGGCATGGGGAGGCTGGGAAGACAGGTTGAGTAATGTGTGTAGAACAGATAGGCGGAGGACACAGAGTATGCATGAGTAATTAGAAGGTCATTGTAGTGGTCCAGGCCAAAGGATGGGGATGATGAGAGAGAGATAGGGGGATCAGAAGTACTTAGGACAGAGAGTGAGCAGGGTTTAGTGACTAATGAATTTGAGGGGTAAGAGTAAGGATGGGCCCCAGGTCTCTGGTGGCTGGTAAGGCTCTTCATGCAACAGTTGGCATTGTTAGCTATACAGAGCAGAGCCTGGCATTTCTACTGACAGGAAAGGTGGGAGTCTGTACCTGAATTAGAACCCTGTGCTCACAATGGAAGGACTTGTTCACTGGCCTTCTCCAAAGATATACACCATTATGCCTGTGAAGAAACGGCCCGGGATATCGCTGCCCCACCCCTTGCTGTGTGCCAGATCTTTTCTGTTTCTATTTTCTCTTGCCCACACCATCTCCCTTCTCATAATTCTTCTTCCCCACAGCATCTCGTAATCTCTCTCCTAACTCATAATTATAGTCAACTTTTTCAGTAACCCTTCTCCTCCCTTGATACTACTATCAAGACAGACTGTAGTTTTATTTGGAGAATGAATTAAGTTCACTTGCATAGAAAATCTCTGAAAAATAATAATAATAGTGCAGATTGTTTGTAAAGTCCAAGTACGAATGAGGTAAAAGAGTTTTGGAGAAGAGCCTTATAGTTGAAAGGGTTTTGAGTTGTTTTAACTGTTGTTGGATATAGTTCTAGCAATAACTTTAAATAGGAGTAGGCTCACAAATGGATGATAATGATCTAAGCATTTGGAGGAGGGACTGATGAAGGATTGATTTTATTTTTTGGCAAAACTACAGATAGGATGAAATTGTGGATGAATCCATGCTGCAAAGCAACAGGTAATGGGAGAGTTTGTTACAATGTTTAAGATCCTGGGCGCTGATTAAGCTTTTATTATTGCATTATTTTATGCAAAAAGCTCATGTAAACGAACCCAAATACAAAAAAAATTAAGAAGCTCGTTGTTTTGAAAGATTTCCGCCTTATGTAGATGTTGTCAATGTCTATTAACCATCCACTGGGCTGCATTCAATGCAGAAAGCAAGTAGATTTGACCTCGGCCACCCTGAGACTGCAGTGAAAATGTCTCCGCTTTGATGACCCTCCTCATTCTTCCTTTCACCCCCACTTCATCCTGAAAAAAAAAAATGACTTCTTTCAAATTTCTTGTACTAAAAGAAAATGAGACTTAATTCACGGTTCACTAGAGAACCCCACACAGTCACTGTGCAAGCACCCTGCCAAGGCAGAGGAAGGAAGGTTAGGCACTTTGGGGCTTCTTGGTTTTTTGGAGGTTAAATGTCTGTTTTGCTTTCACTGAAGTAATGAGAGGGATTGTTGAGCTCCACATTTTGAAAAGAGTCATATGGTTCTCTTTAAAATAGAAGGACTTTGATAGTTTGGTTTTCTTGTTTGGTTTTTTGGGGTTTTGTTGTTGTTTACTTTTTTAGTTCTCTGATTGTGTGCCCCAGATGGTCACCTGGAACTAGTCAGTGTTCCCAAACCTGCTGATGATTGACCACATCCTTTAACTGAGATGCTAACAGAGCCCACTCATCACAGGTGATGACACTGGCTTTTTAAAAGGTGAATTGAAGGACGCCTGGGTGGCTCAGTGGGTTAAGCCTCTGCCTTCGGCTCAGGTCATGAGCTCAAGGTCCTGGGATCAAGCCCCGCATTGGGCTCTCTGCTCGGAGGGGAACCTGCTTCCTCCTCTCTCTCTGCCTGCCTCTCTGCCTACTTGTGATCTCTCTGTCAAATAAACAAATACATTCTTTAAAAAAAACAAAACAAAAAAAAAGATGAATTGAAAGCCAAAACCATAGCCTGGAGGCTCCAGCCTCTTTTCTTTTATTCACTTTTAAGAATGTAATGAATCCCCACTATGTGCATGGAAGGTCCAAGGGTAGGGTGGTAGGGGCCATCAACGGAAACTGAAAATTGGTGTCTGCCCCTGGGAGCTTACATTTAAATAGCAGAGGCTGGCTTGGTACCCAAAGAGTAGAGAATAAAGTAACAAGTGCTGTACTCAGGAGCTAGAAGAAATGCCGTGGGAAGTCAAGGGAGAAGGCAGGATTTTAATAAATGATTGGGAAAGTATTACAATGCAAGTGACATGGAAGTTAGGTCTCAAAGGATTAGTAGAATTTGGACAAAGATGGAGGGAAGAACATTCTCTTACATTCCAGATTTAAAGAATATTATGAGTAAAGGCTTGGGAACAGGAAAGCAAGGGGAAATATGTGGAGTTGGCAAGGGTACTTGTTTAGCTGGGGCCTCGGAGAGGTACAGGAAGTCCAAAGACATAAGGCTGGAAAAATGAGTGGGAAATTGTTGGGATGGCTGCTTCAGGGAGGGGGAGTAGAGGAATAGATGGGAATGTCCTCTTTTAACTTTATATGCTTTCATGTTGTTTTAATTTCTTACCATGTTATGAAAACCCTTGACTGACATGCCAGGGAATTGCCTTCCTCAAGTTGCAGGGAACCACCAAGACAGAGGGGGCATGGTGATAGCTATACTCTAGAAGGTATTTGTGGAAGAAATCTTTAGAGTGTCTTGGAGATGAGATGCCTGGAGATGTGAGTAAATGGTTTAGGAAATAAAATAGTCCAAGGTGGGAGTGATGGAAACAGAAGAGGCAAGGGCACAAAGAGATAACAATGGAGGGAGCCCACAACAGTTCTCCATGGCATAAACAACTCTTTCTTCTCCCTCTTCTTGGTTTTCCCAGTTCTGGCATTGAGAATGCAGCCACAGGCATGGCCAGGAGAACAGGAAAGCTAGAGCTTCTCTGGCATGCTGCATCAAACCTGGAGTCCATTCCTTAAGTTTGCTTTACCCATGCTCAAAGGATTGCTCTCTGGACCAATGGCTATTGTTACAAAGGTTTAATATACCCCCATCATCACTAAGTTAAAAAAAAGAGCTCAAAGAGAAATCGATAGAGCAAAACTCCCCCATAAAACCAGAAAAAAAGAATAGAGATTAGATT